ATATATACGCAGTACATATCAGTAACATACCTTAATATTATAAATATACAGGAATCCTAACATAGCGAGCGAGCACAGAGATTCTAGTTCGTGCACAGCTTGGAGAGCTGGTTAGTTCGAGAATGGTTTTTTTATGGGCATACGCGGAGCGGTGTGATTCTAAAACATTATTTTGAAAGATGCTCGGTGTAATCTTTCTTCCGGGTAACGTTGAAGCTGGACAGAACATGAGAGAGTATTAGGAAAGCTGAACTTATATAACTTCGATCCAATTATTAAATTAACTCGCCGAAATTACGCGATAACAGTAAGTCCAAAGATGCGCTCTATAAAGTATACGTTCGTTATATTTGTTGGGTCCCTCACGATTCGTCTATGGGTAAGTACAAAAAGAGCCTGCGTTTAACGAGAATAGAACAAGCTACTATGAAAGCATAGAAATTTAATGTCTTAGAGCAATATTAGTCTCAGGTCAAACTACGACTAACTGTCATTGACACAACCCTTGCTACTAACTATGAGCTATTGAGTTCTGACCTGAATTCCTATCACTTCATTATATATATATATATATAAATATATATATATATATATAGATAGATTAGATAGATAGATAGATAGATAGTATTGAGTCATAGAATGCACGTATAAAATAACAATGAACATCGTAGTATATCGTTCGGGAAAAGTCGATGACCGAGTAAGAAGTATTTGTATCCCCCCACCCCCTCCCCCTCCCGCCATTTTTCCCGCCATTTTGCCTGCCCGTCTCCAAAGGCCTAATGTTTGTTGTGTGTTTTTTGCTCTTCTTCCATCCACTGCGCTGCTTATACTTCCTTCTTTTGTTCCACTCCTCTTTTCCTCCTGTTTTCCTTTCCGTCTCTCCTTCCTTTCTTCAGCTGTTCTTATCCTTATTTTTATTTTACTTTATGTTCCCCCTGCTCCTTTTCCTCATATTCAATTATCTGTGCTCTACTCTTACTCTGTCTTCTCCTCCTACTCCCCCACCACCACTTACCTCCTCCCCTTCCCTATTTTCTTTTATCTTCCAGCCCTTCCTTTCCCTCCTTAGCCTCCTCTCTTCCCTCCTTTTTAATCTCCTCCCCTCCTCCTCCTCTTCTCCCTTATCTCCTTCTTTTACTCCTCCCTATCCCTCTTTTTCTTCCTCCTCACCTCCTCCCCTCTCTATCCTTCTTGTATTCGTCCTTCTTCATTCTCTGCTTCCTTGCGAGTCAGAGCTATATGTTATTATGTGTCTTCTCTTGTGCATGTGTTTATTTTTGATCTACAAGAATGTATGGATCATATATTAATGACAAATGGACAATCGCGTGAGCTTTTTATATGACGAATCAATATAAAACCGGTCGGGAAGAGACTATGATCACGTGGCAAAAGAATATATGTCATAAACAATATAATACAGATCTAACAGACGAACAAACAAATAATTTTTAAAAAAACAGATAGAACACAGAATACAATGGCTCTAGAAAGCATACATGGCAAAAAACCTAAAACAGACCATGATAAGAAAAAGTTAGGTAATGCATAGAAAAAACACCATTAAAAAAATAAATAGCAAAAACATACCGAACTCAATACCATATAAAAAATAAATTCGACAATAATCTCAAAATAAAAAGAAACAAAAATAAATGAAAACTGAGCCTCAAAAGGGGCGTCCCCAACAGAGATCACATACACTCCACCCTCGAGAGTTCTAGTAATTGTTTTCCCACAACCAGTTCTGAGTCTCGAGGTGTAACTCTCTCTTAGGGGTGAAAAAGGTGGGAGGAAAAAAAAAAAAGCTGGGCTCGTAAAAAAGTTCAGCGACTTCCGCTGAAATGTGCTGCTTCAGGATTTCCTCGAGACTAGGGTCGCCTTGCACATGGACTCTTGGGCTGCAAGGCCAGCACGCCTATGGCAACAGGCGGAAGAAGGGGGAGAGAGCGAAAGAGGGAGGAAAGTTAGGGGTGTGTATTAGGGAGAGGAGCGGAATGGAGGGAGAGGAAGAAATGGGAAAGAGATCAAACCGCCGCTGTCGTGCGAGGTTGCTTTTTCCGCTCCCTCCGATACATCACCATGGCGTAGGGAAGAGGAAGGTACCTTGAGACCGCGGGAAATGGAGGGAGAGGTAGCAAACGGAGGGAGAAGCAAATGGAAATTACGCCGCTTCAGCGGGAAAAATGAGAGAAAAGGCGAACGTAAGAAGAGAGAATGAACTGGCAGAAAACGAGCGGAAAAGAAAGAAATCACCGGAGAAGGAACGTAATAGAAAACGGGATGGGAAAGAAACACAAATCGAGGAACAGAGAAAGTAAGAATTTAAAAATAAATAAGACTCCGCAACATCATATTCCTTCCCATTTGTATTTTGCCCTCCCATTTCTGTTGTTACACCATATATTATGATTATATGATATATCACCTGCCAAACCCTGTTCAGTAGCCAAAACCCAAGTTTGGTATTCCTGTATGATATTGTTAGAAACATTCT